TCCATGTGCCCCAGGTATGTCCCCAGGCGTGAGAGTGTTCTGTAGTCTGCAGGGTGCCGAGGCTGGGAGCTGTCTCCGATCTTTCCCAGGCAGGCCTGGGTCCCTTTGGCTTCCACACGAGAGAGATGTGCCCCAGGTGCTAGGCCTGACAGGAGCAGGTAGAAGGTGTCCCCTGAGGTATGCAGGCAGGAGGCAGGGGCGGGATCCTGCCGGCTGTGAACCTGCCTCTCCGCCCACAGGTGTAAGGTCTGCCCGCTGACCTTCTTCACCAAGTCCGAGATGCAGATCCACTCCAAGTCGCACACAGAGGCCAAGCCCCACAAGTGCCCACACTGCTCCAAGTCCTTTGCCAATGCCTCCTACCTGGCCCAGCACCTGCGCATCCACCTGGGCGTCAAGCCCTACCACTGCTCCTACTGTGATAAGTCCTTCCGACAGCTCTCCCACCTCCAGCAGCACACCAGGTGAGTGGGCTGCCTGGTGCCTCCTGGGAGGGATGTGGGCCTTCTGTAGGTGCCCATTACACTCAGGGTCAAGTGAGACGTCTTTGCTTGGTATCCGAGGCCCTTCATGCACTGGCTCCCAGGAACCTCCTGACCTCAGTGCTTGCTCTTGCATCAGCCTTCCTCCCAATGCAGACAGCCCCTTGGCGTCTCATCCCTGAGTCCCACGCCCCCTAGGCTGCCCCCTTCCCGTCTCTATTTCCATAGGCCCCTTGGGTCCCTGTCACAGCAGCGGTGGGCTGCCAGGTACTTCCCTGGGGGCTTCCAAAAGTGTGTGGGAAAATGCCATGATCATTTATCGTTTCTCCATGAGCTCTTTGAAGCACCCTGGTACTGATTATGAGAAACCTTGGAAACTTTGGGGTCACGAGTTTGTTCTTCTCCATCCCCAGTGTGTGAGACACACTAGGCATGTAGGCGTGTGTGAAAATGTCTGTGAACTGAACACGAGGGGACTTCCAATTCCATTGTTTGCACAGACTCTCCAAAGCCTTCGCGTAAGACTATGTTAAGGCATGCAATTTACAGAGCCTGTGCTGTCTGCTGGAACCCCAGAGTGGCACATAGAAGGTAAAGCGCTCGGCCTTTCACCTTTCACACGGCGAAAGGTTGGTGGCTGGAGTCTGTTCTGCCCAGAGGCATCTAGGAAGAAAGGCTCGGTGACCCACTTTCCTGCGGTCACAGCCATTGACCGCCTGTGGGACACAGCACTGACCTGCAGCGCCTGGGGTCGCTGTGACTCGGCATGGGCTGGACAGCAGCTGTGATTTGTTTCTGTTTTATACTGTGTGCTAGACATGAGCAGTGGACAAAAGAAACCTCACCCCCTGCCATCGAGTTGATTCTGACTCAGAGTGACCCTGTAGGACAGGCTAGAACTGTCCTGTGAGTTTCCGAGATGAACTCTGTATGGGGTAGAAAGCCTCGTCTTTCTCCCACAGAGCTGCTGGTGGTTTCAAACTGCTGACCTTGTGGTTAGCAGCCCACTGCCTAGCACTCCTTCAGCAGTGGACAGAGCAGACGCACATCCTTGCCTCGGGTGGCTTACCGTCAAGTGGGGGCGTGAGCACCGAGAGCAGTTATCTGCTTGCTACACTTCTGTAAGGGTGTGCAGACTTTGGCTCTCCGAGCAAAAGTACCACAGGTACAAACGGAAGGTTACCAAGAGGTCAGTTGCTGTGTTCAGTAGGGGAGAGAGGAATCGTGATTTTCTGACCCTGATGATCATATCTGTAAGCATTGATACATGTTGGCCAAATCAGCCATTTTAAAAATCAGGAATAAAGCTACACACACACACACACACCCCCACACACCCCACCCCCCGTATTGATTTAGAACTTCCTGCCAAGAGCTCCAGGTTTGATATAGTTTGGGAACCAAGCGGGAGATGTGTGTTCCATTCCAGCCAGTGTAGTGGTTGGAGGTTTGCGTGTTGCTCATGTGCAGCGAAACTTCCAGATTCAGATGGGCTAGGCAGAAATCAGGGAAGAAGCCAGGGAAGGCATCCTAGATTGTAGCAGGCAGATCCACACCCATCAGGGGTTTATTTCTCTATCCATCGTCTTTGTCTGCTTTATCCCAGTGTGCAAAGTGCTGCGTCCCTTTCTCTGCCAACAGGCAGGCTGTTCACGGAGGCTGCCGGGCCCTGGGTATCAGCCGATGTTCTCACCCCAGGGCCTCCTGGGACACAGGCTGGTTTCAGCAATTTTCTGACGCTGCCATTAATTTCATTAAAAACAAAACATGGCCAGTTTTCAGTACCTAAGTATGTGGATGAATAAGGAAACGCCCCTCTGCTTGTGGGGGGTCTCAACTAGACCCCCAGTTGCTGAAAGGCTCAGGGCTAACTTCTTTCCTTCAGAGGCCCGTGTGTTCATTCCGCTACTTTTTGGTCTTCAAAGTGTTTGTATTTTCTTACATTTCTGAGATCAGGGACCTGGGACCATCCAGCTCACCCCTGCCAGGGTGTGCTCAGACAGCCTGTAATAAGAGGGGTACCCTCGGGGGTGGGGGGGCATTCCCAGGCTTTGCAGTGTTTTTGGACCAGCAGGAATGGGCTTCCTTAAAAAAAGGAGACTCCTCGAGGTCTGAACCTCACCGTGAGCAGCACAGGGCCATTCTGGGAGGACGGGGGAGCCTCATTCCTGATGTGAGGGACAGCCTGATTAAGTGAGATTTGGCTTCCAATGTGGCATTTGTGACATGGTCATGGTTGCAAATTTGATTGGCCCAATTATATACCCTGTTAGGGAAGAGAATCGATTCTTATTGAACCTATTTATACAGCTAACCGTCATGAGGAGGGACAGCATCTCAGAGAAGGCCGGGAATATTTTTCCAGCAATTGGTCCAGGGAGTTTTGTAGGCCAGGTTGATTACGTCTATTTTATTCTCAATAGAATTATCCTGGTCCAAAACACCAAAAACACTTTAAAGCTCCCTTAGTCGTTTGTTGGGTGATAACTGCATTTAATGGTCATGGTTGGTGCTTTTTGGTTTCTTTTTTCACCTCCCCGAATTCCGAAGGGTCCATTAAAACAAGGCTCCGTTTAAGGATATTTTATCCCAGTTAGTAGACCTTGCCCATAGTACCACCTTTTGTTTAAATATAAACCGAAAAATAACAAAACAGATGAATTGCCATCGGGTCAGTGCTGACTCATAGCGACTCCGGCGGGTTCCTGAGACTAACAGTTGATGGAGTAGAAAACCAAGTCTATTTTACCAAGGAGCTGCTGGTGGTTTTGAACTGCTGGCCATTTGGATTGCAGCCCAGTGTGTAACCACTGCACCACCAGGGCTCCTCTTGTGTAAAGATGCTTCCTACATGGTGGTAAGGAGCCATGGTGGTACGTCGGATAAGTGCTTGGCTAGTGAGGGAAAGGTGGGCGTTGGGAACTCAGCCTGCAGTGCCGTGGGCCAGAGACCTGGAGACCGGCTTGCACAGAAACACAGCCTAGAAAATGCTGCTCGCTCACTTGGTCCTGGCGTGAGCTGACGCAGACTCGATGGCACCTAACAGCAAGAAACAACCAACTTGGAATTCGAGATGTTGTTGTTTGGGGTTGTGCCTTTGGTTCGATTCCAACTCTTCCCATCCCATGGACAAACAGAAGGAAATACCGCCCGGTCCCGGGCTGGCTTCACAGCGGTGGCTGTGTGCGCCCATTGCTGTCTCATCGAAGGTCTTTGTAGCTGACCCTCTCCTTTACCAACAATGTCCTTTTCCAGGGACTGGTCTCTCCTGAGAACAGGGCCAAAGTATGGGAAACAAAGTCTCGCCATCCTCGCTTCTAAGAATCATTATGGCTGTACTTCTTCCAAGACAAGTTTGTCGGCTCTTCTGACGGTCCCTGGTATCTCTAATAGTCTCCCCAACACTGTAATTCCAGGGCATCCATGGTTCATGTCTGGCTTTGGCATGCGCGTGAAGTGATCAAACATCCCGTGGCTTGAGTCAGGTGCACTTTAGTTCTCAAATCTTGACGTTTTAGCACGTTACATCTTTACTTTTTAACTTTTTGAAGAGGTTTTTTTGCAGCCCCTTTGCCTAAGGCAGTAAGTCTTCTCATTTTTTGATGCTGCTGCCACAAACGTAGATTATGGATCCAAAAAACATGAATCCCTGACAGCTTCAATATTAGACAGAGATCAGAGGGAAAGGCATCTCCCCACTGCCCTTTAGAACGCAGCTCAGTGAGCACAGATACGTCCGTTCCCCCGCATTCATGGTGGAATCGTGGGTAGTAATTACTGCCCTGCCTGCCTGGAACTACTTGGTCCTCATTGACAAGGTTGTCTCCTGCACAGGGTCCTGCTTGGCCCCTGACAGTGCCTGAAGGATGAAGAGGCAGTGTATCTGCGACAGTCCTCCCCTGAGGCTGCCAGGCTCTTGATCTTTCTTACAGGAGACC